ATACGTATTAATTTTATATTATATATATATACCCCTGTCCATTTAATTCCCCACCACCGGTGCATTTACTTTTCCCATCGTCATCTTCTTTTCATTTTCAATACCGAGAGCAGAGCAACGCGCGGAGAGTATAGGGGAACGTCGGGGGAAAATTCCCAAGCTCAATTCTTGAGTTCTAGTGATGCAAAAATCCCGTAGGTAATGCCTAATTCATCTGTACATCGTGATTTATTGATTTAGAGCTTTAAAACGAGTTTTTGGTTCAGGAATTTCTTGAATTCCCGATAAGCCAAATTAGGGTTTCGGAGTATCCGGAAGCCGGATTGAGCCCAAATTTCATATACGAGCTTCCTGCAGCGAGTTAATCAATCCTCTAGTTATTCATGAATTTCGGAAATTATTTAGGTCGGGTTCCAAATCGCTGAATTTAGCTCCGGCCAGGGTTTGATGTGTTTTTATCGAGAATTTGATCCGGAGCCTAGAACTAATATTGACGGGGATACTGCAGGGGATATTAGGACGATCTCGGATTTTAATTCGGGGTTCGTTCGTGAAATTGACGTTTTAGTACGGGAGGCTAGAACCGGTGTTTGAACGACCAGAACTGGTGAGGGAATAGCACGGCATAGCGGGTTTGTCGTATCACGATAATTATATTGATGCTTAGAATTGACCTAGGTGAATTAGAATGGCATGATTAGGGGTGTATGGACTTTTATGCTATATGATGAACCATGGATTGTCGTATGATATTATTGACTTGCCCTATCCGATATGGACCTTGTTTATGTTGATGATTGCATACATGTTGCCATTTGTGGCTTAACCGTTAATATGACTTCATGCTTGTTCGATCAGGTGTTTTGACATGATGTGATATTGTGGTTGTATTTGGATTCACAAGTGGGGGAAATAAACTTCCCAGGGTGATATTATGATATTTAAGGAGGATGACTTGCACGAGGGTTTATCCCGAGGAAGTGCGATTATACGACTCCTGATTTACCTATGTTGAGCCAATTATAGTCAGGTCAAGTTCATGTGCAAGTAACGAATTATGATTAAGCAAGATGAGATATGGATCATGTATAAGATTACCAAATAAGAGTGATTTGGTCTCATGGTCAATTACATAGTAATTAGGGCTCCACATGCTATTACTCTGTTATGATATGTTATGTCACACCCCTGATGTGGTGTTGACCGTTGATTCATCATGAGATATGACTACACCCAGAGTGGTGTTGAGTCCGATATGACCACACCTAGAGTGGTGTCAGGTCCGATATGACTACACCGACAGTGGTGGGTCCGATATGATCACATCCACGAGATGTTTGGTCCATATTCCCGGGAGAGTAATTAGCATGGGAGTAGCCAGGCGCCTATAAGTAAAACATGATAAGACGCATATGCATAAGTCAAGGTGGTTGAGTCTTTTGCCCATTGGGATATGAGGATGGCTAAGGTCCGATCCTAGTGTTTTGACTTGTTTGCTAGATGTATGGTAGGGGTATGCTCTATTATGAACTCACGATGCTATGATTATCTCACTCAGCCATGAGCTGACCCTCTTTTATTCTTCTTCTCTGTTTATGCTATGTGTAAGCAGATCATCAGCAGCAACAGTAGATAAGTGTTAGGTGGGAGAGGAGCTAGAGTTGAAGTCAAGATGAGGTATGGTCTTCAACTATTCTGTGTTTGGACGACTACTTGGGATTTTGGCCAGTGATCCACACGTTTTTGTAAAAATGTTTTGGGAACGCTTTTCATGTGCATACTCGCTTCTGATGTAGTGTAAGATATCCACAGGTGTGGAAAGTTGATGATATGTGTATATTGTGTAATTATGTAAGTTGTGATGATTATAGCATGTATCAGTATAGTATGCAGTTGTGTAGTATGAAACTGTGACTATGGCTATGAAAAGCCAATACATATGGTTGTGAGTATATATGTTTGTGATGAATTATTTTGCAGGATAAGTTGCAAGAACTGTTAGCCCATTACGCGAGTAATTCATGTCGAAATTTTATTTGGGTAAATTTTGATAATTAATGTAACACCCAAGATTAATTCCGCTATAATTGTATGAACAATATGATTAGGCAAAACGTATAGGATAGGGTGTTACAGAGTCTATGCTCAAGTTAGCTATAAGAAGGTCAACATCTCTTGCTACAAATTTGTAGATTCCATTAAGTAGCCCATTTCATTTGGGTTGCAGTTTTCGGAGATCCTCATTACCTTAGCATTAATGGCTTGTGCTAATTAAGGGTTTTGATGCCCACTAGTTGAGTATATTTTGGGTCTTCATATTATACTAGTTAAGTGGCCCGCGCTTTGCGACGGAAAGTTTGTTTTTATAAAATAAAATGTAATTAATTAACATTAGGAAACTATTAATTTAGGAAACTAATTAATTTGAAGCTTAATTAAGAAGATATGACGTTGGAGGATTATAAAAAAAGCATGAATAATAAAATTATTATTAACTCTAAGGTGAATACTAAAGTTTCACCGTTTCAGATCAACTTGAAGTGAAATAATTAAAGCACAATTGGTAATTTGGTACTTAAAAAGCGTTGTCATGACTAATCGGAAAGTTAGAAGAGCACTTGCAACACTCAAATTCATATTTTACTAAGAAATACAAAGCTAAGAGAACCCACAACCTAAGGATTACAAAAGAAAAAGCCTTTTTGTTGATTTCTTTGAAAATGTAGCCGTAAATTTTCACTAAAAAACATATACATGTGATAAGTAAACACACATAATAGTTTATAATCAAGTTCACAATGAATTGGTAATCCGAAAAAACCAACATGCTTAATGTGCCACGAATTATTAACAATTTTCTGATGAGATTCTTGAGAAGTCAAAACAATACTAACTATTCTCGAAATAAAGCACAAAACCCATAGGCCATAGTACACATGTGCAAAGGAAGCAATAACTAAATTACAATAAATGTAGGAGAATTACATAAGAAACTTGCATAAATTATAAAATACTACAAATCATCAAAATACGCGTGTCTTAACAAACAATTAGAATTATAGAATAAAACATTGTAAAGCCAAACTGCGCATCTCATAAAGTTTTAAATTTCAGTGTACCTTGATTTCAACAGTTTTACCCTTGATTCCTTGTCTCTACATTGATAGGCTCATATTCATATTTTGGCATGGCAATGAGATATTAAAATATCTCCTGGTGGAACTTCGAGCTCTAACCCAGTCCCAACTCTTAACAATTAGTGATTGTTGATGATTACTCCGCTGTCCGGTGAAACACAGAGAACAGGTTGTATGAATTTTTTTAGTATTGTTCTTTTATAAATAGATGTAAAACATATCGTTCAAATTCTTAAAATATTGTGGGCAATATTATTTCCATTTGTATGTTACGTGATTGCCAAATGAACTGAACTTGATTATACTTGATTGTTGAAAATGTTAAAGTCAAGCCTTGAGAGACCTGTCCAGATATTATTAACTTGTCTCATTTTGGTGAAGGAGCAAGTTCACCCATGAAATTGGTTTGGGTCAAGAATTTAAATATCGTACTAGAGGTTGTATCGAAAAATTCAGCAATATTGTATGTTATGTTAAAATCGTACCGCTTACCTATTTCGCTTTTGATATGAAGTTTTTATGGTCGAAACGCCAGTAATATATGATATTTCAATCTTTGGTTAACTAAACTAAACCAAACCAAACCAAGATTCTGAAACTAATGGTATAAGAACTAACTATTTTATTTTTTACATCAATTCATCACAAAACTTTGGTAAACAGAAACATTAAGTTAGTGGAGGTCAGGTGGCACCCCTGCTCTGCAACGTGTATGTCATGCAGATTGGGGCTAGCAAAAAAAAAAAAAAAAGAAGAAAAAGAAAAGAGTATTTCCCCAACCACCAAATAAATTGACAGAGGCAAGTTTCACAAATCAGCGAAGTGATTAAAAACAGGAAGTAAAAAATGCAGTTGATTCCTCCTCTCCTCGATCCAACAGAATCTGGTGTATATTCGCTCCTTGTCCCCTGCCAATCCGATATCTAGTCCACGGGTTTGATGTGGCAGCTGAGAAGGAATGACTGCGATTAATGAAGGAAACGTTCTTTGTAACGGGAATGGAAGCTCACTGCGGCCGCTTCGTCTTCTCTGGCATATATCGGTGAGATTTCGATCTCTTACTTTTCCCTTTCTATTGTTCTCTAGCTAGCTAGCTCTCTGTCCCAAAAAGGGCAATAGATCTTGCCTGTAGGAAGGAGGAGGAAGATGGATGACTGCATGCATTCCTTGGCCAACTTGATTTACTTGTCCAATCGCCAGGGAGTCGACGGTGGGGAGTATCGGGCTTTCTCGCGGCTCCGATTTTGCAGAGAATAGAGCCTGTGCTTCAATTTTTTCGAAAAGAAGAAACGGGATTTCCATGGGAAATTTGTCGTCATCACTCTCCGCCCGCCGTGCCGTCCGTTCAGCGGCTTCGGAGATGGAAAATCGGTTGTCGCCGCCTGCTCCCGCCGGTGTCCTTTCATTGATTCGGAGATGGAAGGTGGTCAATTGGGGATTGAATGAAAAGGGGGAAAGAGCTCTCGAGAGTGAGAGAGAAGCAAGAAGGTTTGGGAGGTAGGGCCCACCATTTTTTTTAAGGGTGTGACTGATCAGGTGCAATTGTTTCTTTATGAGCTCATAACATCTGACAAACTAAAAGTCATCACTCATCAACGGCAACACTTGATCTGCCCAAAATTAATAAACATGAGCTCACATGAACTGTACCGCAGGGAATCACCCAGCCTCTCCCGTGAACAGTAACGCGACTTTTTCGTAATGAACAATGTTTTTCAATTTTTTTGGTAATTTTTGTCTGCTTGTGGCTTAATAATTCTAATAATAATTTTTGTCTTGTGGATTAATAATTCTAATAATGTAAAGTCCATTGTTCAGCTGTGAATATCTGAATGATGGTGTGTCATTCAGGCAGGGGCGGACCCAGGGGGTTTAGGGTATCCGGATACCACTAAATTTTGGGAAAACTGCCGATACTACCCCAATCCCTCTAACGATCGCCGCCAATTCCCATAGAGCTCTGCCACTTCATCGCCCTAATCCCTAATTGCCAATTTTTCCTTTACCCGTCGCCGGCCGGTCTCCACTTCTGTTGCTGCTCCGCCCGCCGCCGTTAAGGAAGGAGAGAGAAGGTCGGTCTCCACCTCTGATGCTGCTCCCGTCGCCGTTGAGGAAGGAGAGAGAAGGCCAGTCTCCACCTCCGCCCGTCGCCGTTGAGGAAGGAGAGAGAAGGCTGGTCTCCGACCGTCGCCATTGAGGAAGGAGAACGGAAGGCATGGCGGCTGTCGACGGAAGAAGAGCGCTGAATACAGAGGAGGGGATTCGATTACGCTGTTTCGATTGCCAAATTTCACCGACAGATTGTGAAGACGGGATTAAGGAGCTTGTTGCCCGCATCCTCGACCTGTTGCTCGAGCTCCCTGTCGGCGGAAGCAGCCGCCGCGAGGAAGCCCTAGGGCGAGCGGCGCAGCGGAAGACATTTGCGGCGGCAACGGGCGAAAGACTCCTAGGGCGAACGGCGACAGAATCGTCGGTTAAAATTTGGTTAGAGATTTGGAATATTTTGGGTAAAAACGTAAAATTACATAAGTTAGGGCGACAAATTTTAAAAACTTAGGGCGTTAATTAGTACCTCTCTTTATGTATGGATAAAAAAAATATAATTAATAGTAAATGACACCCCTTAAATTTGAAAAAATGATTATCCTACTGTCATTTGTGTATAGGAATATAAGTGGTAGGTCGGATAATTCAAATCTAGAACACTATTATTATTAATAAACTTAATTTTCAATGTGTATAGGAATATAAGTGGTAGGTTGGATAATTCAAATCTAGAACACTATTATTATTAAAAAACTTAATTTTCATTGAGCTAAACTCATTTGTTGTTAGATTTTTTTTTTTATCGGTTTTTTTTTATCGGTTTTTTTTTTTTTTTTGATCGGATTTGTTGTTCGATTTTGAACAATGTGTAATAGTAAAATGGCATTGCCTATCTCTAATTATTTTAAAAACCTAACAATTAAACTAATTTCAAACTAATCATAATTTGTATTAATTTTATGATTGTACGACAAGTGTTGAAAGAGTCTTTCAACTTTGGGTTACATCAAGAACAAGTTTACAAATCGAATATGCGATAAGTTCGTGAATGATTGTCTAGTAGTGTATATAGAGACTATTTTTTTAACACTATAGACACTAAGTGTATTCTACAATTATTTTCGAATATGAAAACACATAATGGACTTTTTTAACCTGTACGAGTAAGGTATTTTCATATTTACAATTTTATTAATTATTTTTATTTAATTTATTTTTTAAAAGAGGACACCCCTATGAAAAATTTCTGGGTCCGCCACTGCATTCAGGCCTGCTCTTATATGGATAGCAGTTTAACTATTTAATTGTTATACGGATTGGGTGGCCATGTAAATCGATTAACTGGCCATCAATAACTAATTATTATCAGACTAATTATCTATCTATCTATCTATCTATACTAAATATTATGACTATTCAAAAATAACTTCTTGCCACATAAGCATTTGGTGAATGCACAAGTTGCCAAGGTGGACAATTTTTTACAAACAAAAAGCTATTTATTGATCTATTTATGAAGCTATCTCTCTCTTCTTTTAATAATTCTACTCATTTTTACTAAAATTAAAATTTGTTAATTTTATAGGAAACATTTAAACAAACAAACACATACATAAGTAATAATCTTTTTTTTTTCAATTAAACAAACTATAAAGATGGAAACAGAGAGTGACATATATCGTATTTGTTTAACCCAAACTGATTAAATCTGATTAAGTAAATTTTCTACTCATTTATACTAAAATTTAATAATAAGTTAGATTTTGATGAAGAAAAAATAACAAGCACACACATAAATAATAATAATTTTCGATTAAACAAAATATAAATGATGGTCTAAGAGAAAACAAGCGTTTGATAATCAATCGACTTTGAGAAATGAACGATATGACTATATGTTTTTTGCTATCAAACACTCATTTCTTTCTAATGTATATACCTATCAAATAAAACAAGTATAAATTTTATAGCAAAATGTTCGAATATAAACTTGGCAGAACAATAATTGTTATTTTTTAAAACTTCTTATTTATTCCAATTAGATGAAAACATATTAATTATTAATGCAAACTTTTAATTTGTTTCTGTCCCTTTCCCCATTTTGGTTGTCTCACTAGAAATAAAATCCAACTTTGAAAATAAGAAATCAAGAAAGTATGTTAACCACCATAAAAATAAACAAAACCCTCTTATTAGTTGCTAATTTTTTTGAGATTTCTAATATTTGTATTCTCATAATTTATAGAGAAGGAAATGGTAATGCATATGATTTATTTTTCTTTGTATGAGAATAGGAGGCAGGAGTTACATGAGGCAAAGATTAGATGACAAAATTTTGAGCAGTTGTAACATATTTTTGCCTATTAACGAAAAAAGTTCATATGATCATTGTGAAGATGAGGTGAATCAAGCCGAGGGTTGTCGACTGCTACCTCTTCCTCCTTTATCTGAAGCTGGCAACTGGTCTCACTTTCTCAGCGATATGTTATTGTTTGCGGTTGACTGGCCAAGTTATACTCTTCTTCCCATTCTTTTCTTAATTTCTTCCAAATTACGACTGCTGGATGGTAAATTTTCCCACTCTCGATGAATGAATGTATTTCTTTTTTGTTTTTCACGGAGAAGGGTCACCATATACTTTTATTTAAATATATAAAATATAATTAGAACGGTTAATTGGTTGGACTTAGGGCATACCTCCTTTGGTTGAATAATTGATCATTTTTCTTGAATGCCTATTGCAACCTGATTTCTTGAATGTTGAAATGAAAATCAGAGTTGTGATGGTTGTTTATTATATTTTATGTTCATGATTGACATGCTACTAGCTAGGGCTGGGCATGCGGGCGGATCATCCGCGGGTTTGGGCCGACCCACCCGCATTTGACCCGAATTTCGTTAAGTGGGTGGGTCTATGGGTGGGTGACGGGTTGCGCTGGGAGCCATCCGCCGGGTGGTGGGTGGGTTGTGGGTGGGTGCGCGGGTGACCCGCTCAACCCAACAGCAAAAAGATCAAAGTCGTCGGCGCTAGAGAGGGGAGAGTGGAGACGTTAGACATGAACTAGGACTGCTCCTGGAGTTTAAACCTGAAAGCCAACCTTCCAAATAGCGATCCCCTCTTCTTCCCTTTATTTTTTCCTCTAATTCTTGTGCCTAAATCACTGCTCTTTCCTTTGTGGAATTATTTTTCTTAGTTTCTTGCACCTGATAATCATCTCAATTTGTAGAAAACTCTTTCATCATAGAATTTCTATCCATTTTAAGAACTAATTCGACATTTTTCGCGCTATTTCATCTTCTTGTTTCCCCATATAACTCTCTTCGCCTATTATCATGTCAAGTTGACTCCTTTATAGTATATACATTGTGATGTGGGTGAACCCACAAACCCACCCAAATCATCCACCATCCACCATCCGCCCGACCCAACCCGAGACTAAATGTGGGTAGGTGGTGGGTTAAAAATTATCAATCCGTTTAAACGCGGGTGGGTGCATTTTATGGTCAAAATCCACCCGACCCACCCAATGCCCACCCCTACTACTAGCTATAGCAGATCTGTATTTTAGTAATTAGTAGGTAGCAAAGAGGTTATAAATAGAAGGGAACATAATTAGGATTTTATAAAGGTCGCGAAGAAGAAAGAAATGATAATGGTGGTTTCTCGGTTGTCTATTTCGATTTTTTTTTGTTAATTTCTGCATGTTTGCAGTGACATTTGTTTGTTTCATAAAGATGAATTTTTCCGCATTGAATCTCTAACTAAAGCTTGATTTTGACATGATTGTTTTCTTACAAATTACTATTTGGATTGATGCATATATTCAGTTCACAAATGAGGAATCTGCATGATAAAATGAGTTGAGTTGTATTGAAGACTGCTCCTTTTCATTATTTGTCTATGTTGTTGTTATGTAAAAAATCACAATTCTTTTCTGCATGAGATATGTAGCTCTCTACAAAATATAAATTGTGTTTAAGTATATGCAGTTTAATTTGCTGAAAATATTGTTTTAATAAGTTAGTGACAACTGATAGTTTTGTTTGTGGTTGGTTTTGCTAGAACATTTCAAAGTAATTAAACGAGTACGTGGAAGATTGATGGACGTGGATGCTAATGAGTTTTCCCTCATTATTCCAAAATTGTATGTGTAAGTGATAATACACGATATTCATGAGATTTAGATTGGAATATTCTCTATTATCATATACCGACATATGAGAAGGAAGAGGGGAAAAAAGCTCTTCGCTTATTTTTTTATTAATTGAAGCATATTTTCTTATTCTAACTTCTTCTTTTATGGCTGTAAATTTTTTGACTTCTTTATCACAATTGTGTGCTAAAGAATGAATAACTCTTATGTTTATAATCTTAAAGGGCGAGTTAGATAAAAAAAATTCTAAATCAATAAAGAACAGTCTACAAAGAGCTCAGTTAATAAAATTAAAATGTTCATAAATAAACAAAAGGTATAAAGGTATGAAACAATATCTGAAATAAGATAAATGGGATTTACAATTCCATGTATATTACCTTAACAAACATATATAATGATAACAATTAAAATACTATAACGAATTATAAAATAACCAACAAAATACACCGCCCAACGAGCGGGTAAAAAACTAGTTAGATATATGTGGTTTCAAGTTGCTCGTTTACGTTATTTTGTGTGGTTGTGTTGTGTACAGATTTATTTATGTTAATTAGTAGAACAACTTGGTTGATGATACGTGGTTTCAAGTTGCTCGTTTATGTTATTTTGTGTGTTTATGTTGTGTATAGATTTATTTATGTTAATTAGTAGAATAACTTATCTTGAGAAGTAATTAAGTAAGAAGTGGTTGATTGTTATTTGAGATATTTATTGTTATAACTATCTAGTGTTCATGGTTAATTTTAGTATGAACAGCTTATCTTACCTAATAGGCAAGCCACATAAACTTTATATATATGGTGCCTTTTACTGTACTCCGGGTGAAATCCGATGTACCGCATACCTTGAGTATTGTTTGAGCCTTAATATCCGGTCCCACCTACTCGGCTCTCGTAGGAACTATTCGCAGTTGAGGCGCCAAGACCCTGCACAAACAAGCGCCTAGTGGGCTTCTAGGTGCCCGTTAGCACTCAAACGTTCAAGTCAGCGCACGTTTTTAGAGAGATAAGTGCAAGAGAGATTTTAGTAAGAGAAACCAACCTGCGTAAATGCCACCTACCGAGTACTATTTATACTCGTCGAGGCCCCGACCAAGCTCCTAGAATTCAGCTCCACGTCATCACGTCATTAAATGCTTGGTACGGCCCAACGGTCAGGCGCCTACACGTGGCAGCTCCTAGACCTCTATGCCTAGGCGCCTAGCAGGGACCATGCTACCAGGTGGCAACCTCT